CTAAAGCCCTAAACCTAAAACCTTAAACCCTAAACCCTAAACCCCTAAACCCCTAAACTCCCCAAACAACCGTAAACCCTGGACCAGCGCGGTGGTCGGCTTTGGGGCTGAGAGTACCCGGCTTTCGGGGTTGAGGTGTAGGGTTTAGGGTTTAGGGTTGTGTTGTGAGGCCTGGTTTGGCAAGAGACTGGCCACGACTGCTGCCCCCTCAGACCGGCTTGACGCTTCGAATGTTTGGGAGAGAGCGAGAGGGCTTGCGGCTTGGGGTTTCGGGCTCTGGGCTTAAAAATGTTTGAAATGAAAGTTCAGGTCGGCTTAGCGCAAAAGCTAGCAGGTTCTAATCAAACCCTAAACCCAAAACCCTGAAACCTTAACCCTAAACCCCAAAAAATAAGAAACCTGAATCCTTAGACCTGAATCTAATGGTTCCAGGGCATCAGGCTCCGGGCTTGTCAGCGTTTTGGAGTTCCGGGGGAGGGTTTAGGAAGGGTTCGAGGTCTGGGTAGACTCGAGTCGAATGGGAAACATGGGTTTTGGGGGCAGTGCTTTGCCCACGAGACCTATTCTAAAAAAATAGAGGCCCCGTTTTAAACCAGGAGGAAGACATCATCCCAAAGAACATGCGCTACCCGCGGATTACACCAGCGTGGCTCAAGCACGAGAAGCAGGTGCTGCGGTTCTACGGTTTCTTCCAGGTGCCGAGGCTGTTTTTGTTTTGTGGGATTCACGCAGTTTTATAAAGATTGTTCAATGGCTTTGAAGGGTTTGCACGTTTACTGTAGCAAGCCCGAAAGCGGAGAGGTTTCAGGTGGGGGTTTTAGGGTTTTGCATCTAGCATTGGACCTAGGGCCAGTGCAGGCATTACCCTCAGTCCATGGTCGGACAGAACCATTTTTCTATGTTATCCTAATCTTTCTTAGAGCAGCCGGATACCCTAAAATGCCTGCCTTGCGCGAGCGAGTGAGTCGAAACCCTTAAACATCCTTAAGCCGTTACCCTCAAATCGGCCGAAATGTCGGCTTCGATTCCGACTCCCGAAGCCGCTGTAGCACTTAAACCCGGAGCTTAAAGCCTTTGCCAGACTAAGGAGTCGATCCCAGAACGCTGGGACGAGAACAGCCGTTACCGACATGTATACATCATGTGCCTTGGGCTTAGGGTACTCAGGGTACTTAGGGTCTCGGATTGACGGCTTTGTTGAGAGTTTCGGGCTTGAGGGTTTCGCTAGGGGCTTACGACCTTTGTGGAGGAATCTGATCTGTTGTCCTTGTTTTTCTTGTCGTCTAGGACAATTTCAAAGGTCTACTCCAATTATGAAGGTCTTTCTGCTGTTGACATCTTTTGAAACCGCTTCGGTGGTCTGGCTTGAGCAGAAATTTGGGTTTAGGGTCCGGGCTGTATTTGGAGGTTCAGCTTACTTCTAGCTCAATGTTGTATGTGCCGTAAACTGAAGTACAACCTAGGTGGCTATAGGTTCTAGGATCTCAGCTGTGAGGCTACAATAGACGTGAGTATTCAGAATATGTCTTCTCCTTCGGCTAAGGTGCGAAAGCTCTCCTCCCAACAGCCCAGGTATTTCATGGAAGATGGAACGATCGGCATCAACGAGCCAAAGGTAGAGAACTCAGGCATCGCGCAGGGTACTTTCCTGAAGAGAAGTCGCGTCCTCAACGAAGACGGCATCCCTATTGGACCGGATGACATGCGGGTGGGACAGGACCTAACTCTGCATGGCCGTACCTATCACATCAGTGGCTGGGATGTGTCTGGCATATTTAGCTCCTTTTTTTGTGGTGCCTGAACTGACTCTCGGCCCTAAACCCTGCAACCCTTTCGAAAGCTCAACCCTACACCTAAACCCCTAAATCCCCAGAACCCCATAACCCCAAATCCGAACTACAACCTCAAACCCTCCAGCCCGCAACCTGGCAGAACCAGAGTGAGTGGTTTATCCCCTCCCCTCGGCACCCGGGCGCCCTTCTAAACCCTTAAACCCTAAACCCTCAGAGCCCCTTGCGCGTCTAAACCCTAAACCGTGAACCCTAAACCCTAAACCCTCAGAGCCCGGTGCCCTGGATTCAGGTGGCTGCGATCGCTTTACCCGCTGGTTCTTCGAGGAGAATGGCATCCAACTCGGAGAGGCCCAGAAAAGCCTGTGAGATGGTTGGAACAGGGGTTCAGGGTTTAGGGTTTGAGGTTTAGGGTTTAGGGTTTGGGGCTTAGGGTTTAGGGTTTGGGGTTTGGGGTTTAGGGTTTAGGGTTTATGGCTTTGGGTCTGGGGTTTAGGGTTTAGGGGTTCTTTTCAAGGCATCTGGATGATTCCTATAAAGGGACATCCGGGATTCTAACAGAAATTTTTGGGGGAGTTGGTAGAGCACACCCCCTGCAACATGATTTTGGGAGGATTTGTTTCTCAATCGCTCACACCTCTGAGACTCACCGACGTAAGAGAGCGTGGCAGCTGCGGGAACAGTGATCGTAATAAGCGAGTCTCTGTGGCGGATGACACCATTCCATAGGCATGAGGATGATATACCCCAGACCCGTATTCGACGTACTAAGGCCCCCACATTGCAAGTTTTCGAGGGGCGTGTCTTTCGGTCTCCAACATCGACACCAGACGGAAGAGCCAAGGTAGAAGCACGCGCCTAAACCCAAGTAGACGCGAGATCTTCGACAAACCTTCCAGCTCAATACTTCCCGATGTAGTCCCTTTCTGATCATAGCTCCCTCAAGCGCGTGTTGCAGTTAATTATACCAAGCCCCTTGTTTACAACCTTTGAAGAAACCCTATTCTAGTTACAAGCCCTCAGCCCCAGCCTGTTGCTCGAGTGGGTCCTTTAGATCAGCCCCAGCTGTCCCAGCCACACTCTAGCATTGGAAGTCGATTCTGCGGATGGAGGACAGAGCCCTCAACAAAGCCTAAACCCTGCAGGGTTCAGGGATTCCGGTTAGACCCTAGAGACAACACGGTGCAAGGACGAAGATGTTCCCACCGACCTGTGGCAGAAGGGCTACCGCCTCGCAAAGGCCTTCGACCGAGGCGGTGTTCCTCTGACCAGAGCCGCCGTAGAAGACAAGGACAGGTGGGGTTCAGGGCTTATTTCTTCGTGTTTTTTCGAGCGCGGGGAGGGGAGATCAACAACATCAGTGACAAAGTGTAAGTGCAAGTTGCAAGTCTTTGAGAGAGTCATTGTACCAACCACTGTAGTATTGTTGCGGCAACTTTACAGGACAAATTTCAAGCACGTCTCAGCTTGAATCATACAACCGCTTACGGCATTTGTATCGGTGTATCGGCACGGGTCTAGCAATATCGAAGTCCGAAAACCCTACGCCCTACGCTTAATCTCTGCTGACAAGCCTCAAGGCAATCCAACGTGCCATGGGGGGAATCCCGCCAATCGACAAGAAGCTGTCGCAGCAACTGCACTGCATGTGAAGACCTGTTGAGCTCTCGTCCCTGATTGTTTCCAAACGTAGGAGGAGTTCCCCACACGCGCTGTTTACTCGATATCGCCGAAATTCGCAAGCTTGACTGTCGGGCTGGCAGATGGTTCGCCTTTTCAGGGTTGCAGGCACATCTGTGGCCTGGGCCTTGGGGGTTTAGGCTTTGGGTTGCTGGAAGGGGAGTGACGAGATGGAAGTGTTAAGCCCTAAACCCTACACCCTACACCGTACATAATCCCTGAAACCCGAGCCCTAGAAGCTCAGAAACACTAAGGTTCCTGCTGAATGACCGGAAAGTCTTGCGCTTCAAGGCCTGCTCCATGGAGATCCGCACAACTCAGCTCTTATAGCCCTAAACCCCAAACCACCTAAACCCTTAAACCCTACCCCCTAAACCCCAAACCACCTAAACCCTTAAACCCTAAACCCTAAACCCCAAACATCCTTAGCCATGCGAGAGGGAAAAAAAACCCCAAACAGCTTGGAGTTTGAGAACATCCCATGCAATCTGCCGTCCAGAAAGCAGACACCGGCTGCGAGCGCAGCTTTTCGCCGAAGCTGTCTTAGCGACTTCAGAGATCCACCTCTTAGGGTTTAGGGTTTAGGGGTTTAGGGTTTAGGGGTTTAGGGTTTAGGGGTTTAGGGTTTAGGGTTTAGGGGTTTAGCGGTTTAGGGTTTAGGTTTAGCTTTCCCCGAAGTTTTAAGGATCACTGAACGTCGACGTGCTAAACCCGCTCTAGGGAGAACCGTGCACAGGCTTCTAAGCCATACAAAGGCCCTACACCCTAAACCCCTAAATCCCTGGGCCCTAAAGCCTGCACTCTCCCAAAAAGCCCCCAAACCCCCAAAGCTTGAGCCCTGAACCATCAAAATCTTTACACCGCACGCCAGATGATCCCCAAGGCTCACTCTTTGCGTAAGAGGGCCCCATAGCTTCAGAAGCCCCAGCCCTTTGGGGTCCAAAGGGGTTTCATCAAATATTCCTAAACCCCAAGCCCTGAGACATGATAGGCACCCCAAACCCTAAACCCTTTATGGGCTACCAACAACACATTGGCTGTCGGGACAGTAGCCAAAGTGAGTGCATCGATCGTCGTACCAGTAACCTCGCCTAGGCAAGTCCGAGTGTGAGTGCTGAAACCCTTTATAGGCATGTTTGCAGGGTTTTCGGTTCCCATAAAAGAACACCAAGCCCTAAAATCGCTTAGGTGCTTCTCCTCCGGGTTCCCATCACCTGTGATGCAAGGTTTTCCAAAACCCTACACTTTGAGAGTTTATGGTATGGGCATATCTTACAGGGTGCCCAGTACCTATGTCTAAGGACCTTTTAGGTTGAGGGTTTCGGGACGATCCCGCACCGCCCAAGTTTAGGGACACAGCGTGTCTACGCCTGATGTGCACCAGAGCAAGTTCACGTCCATACTCAGATCCTTTGCCCGAAACCCTGAGCCGGAACTTCTGCTAGATTTTTGCAAATGTTATCGGATGTATAACGAATAACATCTCGAAGCAAAGCACCCTGAACCCTCAGCTGGCCAAACCCCTGAACCTACCCCCAGGAAAGCATTCTACCACATGTCAGCCAGGGCTACTGGGACGACCACACGCCCTATGGATCCCGCCTCTGGGCTGGTGGATGGTTTAGCGGCTTGGGGTTTAGGGTTTAGGGGTTCATGGGTTTAGGGTTTTGGGGTTTTAGGGTTTAGGCCAGTTTAGGGTTCATGAGGCTCCCTTTGTTTGGGGCTTAACCCCGGAATTTGGCATGAAGCAGTGCCCGGGTCAGTTGCATCACCCCACAGTTACCTAGACTTAGGGTGTAGGAATGAGGTTCGCGGCTACACATGATCTTGCTTATCTTCATTAAGTCTTTGGCACCAACAACCATCAGACAGACAATTACTTGTCCTGCCACATATGGACGGATGCTAAAACTGCACGTTTCCTTGCAGGGGAATCCTTCCTTGAGCATTGTACGTGGTCCCCGCTTAGCGTTCTCCCGAAGTTTCCCTTGGCCACAGCGTTATTCACTTGTCATCGCACTGTGATGTCCGCCCCTGCAGCCCAGCCTCTAGACCTTAAACCCTAAACTCGACACCCCCAACTCTCAACCGCAAGCCCCAAACCCTAATCCCTAAATCCTAAACCCGAACCCCAAACCCGAAAGGAGTCTAGACAAGGAGTCTACTTCATCATCCACTACTATCTGGCTGACAACACCGTCGAAATCAACGAGGCGGCCTTCCGAATCGTGGGTTAACTCATACCAAGTGAAAATAATAGCAATGATAATCACAGCAACAATAGCGAGACGAGGAACAGCAGTAGTAGTAGTAGTAGTAATAATAATCATAATCATAGTCATAATCATAATCATAGTCATAATCATATCATTACGAATCGGTGTAATCATCTCATCGTCGCCATCATCATCCAACACCAGCGCCACAACACACAGCCCTCATCTCTGCCACTCCCATCATCGCCATTATGATGATTTATGATGATTATGATGATTATGGTGATGGTGATGATGATGATGACTGTGATGATAATGGTGATGTGGAGGAGCGCAATAGGATGATGATTGTCGTCAGTCTCTCCTTCCCCTTCCCCTACGAACGTACAAATATCGACGCCCGAGCCTTCATGCAAGCTTCGAAGCCACGGCAACCGTAGGCTTGTCAAAGCCAGACAGATTGGAGTCAGGGTTGTGTCAACGCAAGATGTCGGGTGCCGGGCTTTGGGGGAATCTTGATGCAGTCAGGACCTCGAAAGAAGACGTTATCCTAGCAACGCTCACTTGCAAGGCTCATTGCCGCAACTCCGGTCGAGCAAAATGGCCAGCGGCGAGCTGAGTGAGCGAGTTTTGGCGCCTTCGAGAGTAGAGTGAGTAGAGGGGCATTTTGGTTAGGTTGTTTTGCGCCTAACTTGCGCGCGTTTGTGCACGGTGCACTTCCCGCAATCAAGTAGACAGAGAGCGAGCGAGAGAGAGGCAGAGAGAGATCGAGAAGGCATTTCCTGCAGACTAGCTAGGCCAAGTGTGGTAGCTCTTGATGCGAGTGTCGGGGCCGAAGAGGTCTTCATTGCCCATGCCATGGCAACCCAAGGCCTTAAACTGTAACCCTAAACCCGAAACCCCAAATGCCTTTAGCGAAGAAGGCGAAAAAACACTAAAGTTTATACCAGAAGAGTCTCAAGCGGGGAGCAGGGGAAGAGGCTCGTAGGGGGTATGTTGCGTAGGCAGGTCGGGGGGCTCAGTATGTAGATAGTACGTCGGTCCTGACATGAGCTAAGGGTTGCAGGGGCAGAGACCTGTTTCACAAAACAGATATGACACGTAGAGTTAGACTACCCCAAAGGGGACTATCCTACTCCAGTGCACAGGCTCGCACGGATGGAGGGAGGGCTCCTGATTGTGGTTTTGAGGGACATTTACTGTGGAATCTCGTACTCCGTCAGGTCTTCATGAAACGCGGGCCTCTTCGCAAAAGTGCCTTCGAAGCACGAGAGGCTCACTCCTACTTCCGTGACCCTAAACTAAACCCTAAACCCTACAGGTACCCAGAAAGCCCATTACCCCTGAGTCGGGGAATATGCCTGAATTTACTTCGGGCTGAGTATTCGGATGTTCTGCTGTGTGTCCTTGTTGAATGGGGTATTGGGATCTCTGTATCAAACTTTGAGAAATTGA